TTTTTCGTTTCCACCATTCGTTGGATTCTCTTAACCGATTCCTTTTCACCACTGGATTAACTGCATTAAGAGCCGTCGGGCTAAAAAACGACATGATACCACAGCCGCCAGGCTAAAAAACGGAATTCATTTCCACTTGAGGCCAGGCATGTTTTCCCAACCCCCCCCCCGCCGAGTTCTACTCCCTACCTAATTAGGGCAACACAGGGAAATGGTACTCGACACACTTGTGTGTCGGTGCCTTTCCCTTTGTTGTCCCTGTTCTTGTCTTCTAACTATTGCACTTCTGCTAAGCAGTCAGTAACTCTAGAGTGCTAAGTAGTCATACACACACACGGACACACACATGCTACATACACCCCCCCCTGCCCCCCCCTTTCTTTCTTACGCTTTCGGTCGTTTCTTGGGCTTTCTCTCAGGCTTTTTAGGTTGTTCTTGAGGCTCGTTTCCCTGCCCCAGTCAAGGGCTAAGTATTCACCTTTTTCTACTCCTATCTTTCTCTCTTGCCCTCTTAGCGCTGCTCTTTCTGTGTTTCTTTCTTTTGTTTCTAAGGCTTTTTAGGTATCTATTCAGGTTCAGGGCACGAGCGCCGCAAAGCGGCACCGTGTGTGTGTGTGTGTCAACCCCTGTCCCTAAGGGTTCCGATGTTTACAAGCAGGGGGCGCGGAGACTGATTTCCCATCCGTGCCAACGAAGCTACGGAAATCAGTTGGAAGAGAGCTGGGACGCCGGCTCTTGTACCTGCAATGAAACTGTTGACCACGCTGTCCAATCTTTTGATTTGATTCATGGTTTTTCATGTGATCCTTCCCCCGAAACCCGTCTCCCACCACAGCTTTCAGCCGCTTGTGAATTGCAGCCAGTCGTGCGAGAGTTTGACCACTGAGTGCAACAATTGTTCAACATTTCAACTGACCTGACCTGCTCGCCTTGCGGTTCTTCACCTTCCTTCTCGACGTGGGAATTGAGCTAACTGAAAACCAATGTCAGAGTGTGTGGATATCATTCTAATTAAAACATCCCATATCACTTACATCACACTCCCAGTGAAATCACCGGCCCAGTGGCACGATGATCTTGCAGCGATCGTCGCGCTTCATGTGCTCCTCGGCGCAGGAGCTGCAGATGTTTCGCACCGGAAAGATCCTGTGTTCAGACCAAGCACAAACCTTCATTTGGCAACTGTTGTTGGCACATGAAGTGGGACCACTCGTATTTAATTTATAGTATAATAATATCATATTACGTAACTATACGGAACTGATATGGTGCAGGTTACGTAATAACATGTTACATCACGTAATTACCCTGTTACGTCACCATCAACTTGGCGCTCGTATGACATATTCAGTATCTCATTCTCAGGTTACGTCACACGGTCCACCGCATCCGTCACCGGTCCGGCTTCCCGTCTCCCTCATCGCTGAGGCGTTGGACATCGACGAGAGCCAGTCCCCCACGGCTGGGGCTCTCGAGGATCCGATTTCGGCCAACGCAGCGGGTCCGGGTCCGGGGGGGGGGGCGGAGCGTCTGAGGCAGGGGGGGTGGGGGACTGAACTGTTCGCCCAAGGCACGATCAGCAGGGTCACCTCAGGGTCGAGGCGCTGAGCAGGTGCTAGGCCGCAGTCTATTCTCATCTAATCTACCAATAGAAACGATGTCCTATACATCTTACCCTGAGGATCTACTTTTCTCTCTATTTGGATCCATTTGGGGACCACTATAATGGTTGTAGAGTGGTACAAAAACCAAGGGGTCACCGTTTTCTGGATCTATCACAATCTGTCGACAAGGAAGGGGCTTCAACGGGGCGGTCCGACAGTTGGATTTTGGGCTCGTTGAACGTTCGCTCATCATGCCGAGCCATTTGTCTGGCTTCTCTTTCGGATACTCAGTACTCACTTCAGTCTACTCTTACACACACTCTCTCTCTCTCTCTGCTGCGGGGTGTTGAGTCAGGGTGCAAGGTCGATCGGGCACATCCTCGGAAACATTGAGGAAATGTGGGGAATAATGATATTGATTTATATTGGATGATTGAACTCCCAAATGCTAAAACGATTTCAATCTTAGCGGTAGAGACCACGGGTGTATGCAAGCGCTTCCCTGCTTTGTCTGCGTTTCCAGCCCAAAAAAAGCACCGAGTTCAGGTCCAAATGTTGCAGCAAAGTCCCCCACACCACTTCTCCGCAGAACAAGGCAGTCACTACAAGCCTGCCAAATTCATCGCCAGGTGGCTTCTTGAACCAGATTCAAGCTCATGCAGTTGAGACGTTTGGGATCATTCAAGGTGACCACGAAAATGCCATCGCCAGCCTCGGCACATTGAGTGACCCAGATTTAGAGGGGAAAGGACCCAAGAGTACAAAGATGTACAAAGCAATATTATGGCTGTGGGTCAAAACCGGAAGCCCGTGGTTGACCACGGAAAACTCATAGAATAGACGACCGGGGAGGTCCACCTACCGGGAAGATCTCTACGGTCTCCGGTTTTGGACCTCACGGTAAGGGCCGTTTCAAGGGTGGACGCCGTCACGGGACCGTCACGGGTGCCACACCTGTGAAAACGTGATGCCACACGTCCATCCTTGTTTGATTGGCTTTGGATGGTTTCAAAGGCACAAAGCAATGCCACCAACATACGGCTTTATCAGATTCTCAGATCATCAGCTGGGGAAGCCGATCACCCAACGCCCCCGGTCATCCGGTCGCTTCATCCGGTGGGAAGACGAAGTCTGCAGGGGGCCCAAGTGGCATGCTGATAGAGCAGCTTCGTCGGCTTGTAAGGCCTCCCGCTTCGGTCGGAGGGGGCAGCCGCATGACATAGAATCAATTGGTTGCACCGGTTGCACTGCCAACATTGGGGATGGCAAAAAATAAGAACTCCTCCACCCAGCCACCAAATCATGGACTCTTCAAAGAATTTCCTCGCAAATGATCTTCCAAATCAAGGGGCGCAAATAAGATCCCCTATTGCGTATATATACTTAAGAATCTTTAAGAACTGCTCAGCGAAGTGCTTGGACTTGCGATAGAGAATACGTCCTCTTGAAAACTTGAAAAGCTCCTCGCTGCTTCACCCCACCCCAACTAGAGAAGTATCCCAGCCATTCCTTCAGTTCACTCATCACCCAGCTAATCCGTCATCCCAGGTCTGCAAAAAATTCCCCCGTGTGTGGATCTCCACCGCGCCTAGGAGGGTCCAACTCGCCCCCATTGGAATAGTAAATCAAAATCTCCTCTGCTTCACCCAGCTCTGCCATCCTCAGAACATGCGTGAAGATGACAGGATCATGTCTACGATCTACAAAGGCTGTTTCGGACAATCAACGGTCGAATGCAAGGTGCGCAAGGGCCCATGAAGGTAAAGTGTCAATTTGACGTGAAAAATAGTTGTCTCTCGCCAGTGGAAAACCATTAGCGATGCCCCTTGTTACTAGTAGTTTCTAGTTTCTAGTAGTAATGCCCTTGTAACTAGTAGCAATGCCCTTGTTGCTAAGGTTGCACGCAGAAGTCGACTGGCTGCAAACCAGGCGCAATCACGGCTTTCAAACGAGTTGGGGAGCGGCTAAAGTCGGCGGTCTGAGCCAATCCCGGCAACGCCAAGATATCACATATCTTTGATTTGCTGAAGAAATGGGGAAAACAGTTTTAAAAATATTCCTCAGGGGATTGGCCCTTAGGTAAAACAAAAATAAATAACCCTAAGCAAAACAAGGATAATATTGTATGGATATTGTTTTATGAAAATGCATCCTCTCATCTTGAAGATTTCACATCGACCAAAAGGATTTTCACATCCGTAGAGTCTTGCACCCTTCTGTCTCACAAAATATTACCTTTATATCCACTCCCAAGAGCAAGAGCGGTTTGGGGGCATACTGCGGCTACGAGCAATTCCTGGTACCCTTTCAGATGTTCCCCGTGCGGCCCGAGGCGTTTCCAAACGAATGACATCTTTTGATATTTTTTGATCATGTAATACATGATGTCATGTATGGTGGACCCTCTATCAATTTAATTAAGTTACTATAATTAAGTTACTATAGTTAAATCGGTGCAAATCAGCGCCGCTAATGTGGTTTCAACAACCCCATCTAAGTCCAATGTTTGCATTGGCAAGCCATTCATATTCCAAGTTCCAAGTATCCAACATTGCTTTTTCCACAAGCCACAAGTACAAAGTTGACGAGAATTCCACGCATGCCAAACCCCCACGAGTTCGTCTCCACGGCGGTGCTGAGAGTCCCTGGCTCTTCTTCACAGCCTCCCTGGTGGCGACGAGCGGTGCCGCCAGCCACTCGCTGTGAAGAAACTAGACGACAAATGGCCCGGGAGCGTAGAAGGAAAGGTTATGTAGAAGAGGGCGCGCGTAGTAAGAGATGATTGGTTTCTGAATGGCTGGTTAGTGGCCAGGGTTCAGACACATAATTATCTATTGGAGTATTATCAGACATTGTTTGCGCAGCCGGAGCTGGAGTGGAACGAAGTGCATACTGCTTCACCGATTACCGCACCCTCGAAAAAGAGTGCTCCTGCTGTCTTGAGATTGGAAGCCTCAGAAACGATCTGAAACGTACAACCGTACTGTGGACTATTTTAAGTATATTTGAGAGTTGTATAGCTGCATTTGCGTGTATGCTACACGATGCATGCAGCTCGCACGTAGCTACGAACGTAGTAAGATGAGACTCGTGGACGCCGCCAATCATCCCGCTCCCCAGTGACGCGCCGAATTTACACCAGCATGTTTTCCTTCCCCCAATGGCACGGACTCACGCAAACGCACTTTCCACCGTGGCCGCGCAAAACCGCATGGCACGGCAACCTGACAAACGGAATTTGGCCTACATACATTGATGTAGACGTGTTATGGAAAAAACAACCTTCTCAACGCTCCCTGGAAAACATGGGACGCTTCGCTCAGCGCTCGTCCGCAGCGAGTGGCTGGGCAGCTGGTTCCCGGTTGGAGGCACCAATAGAATACCTTGGACATCCTTGGATCTCTATTGGGCATTTCTTGGAAGGGCTGTAGGCTATATACAGGACTATATAGGCTATCTTATAGCCCACAGTGCTCGGTGCACGATTCGCACGAGCGGCATCTGTTTGGATATGTTTGGACGACCAAAGTGAATAACAATAGTATAGTATATGACAATTACATAAAATTACACTCCTTTCTTCACTAGTAGATGTGCCTTGCTTGAACACCGCAAAGGGCAACTCTTGGACTCAGATGGACAGGCCATCCTGCAGGTGTCCGGATTTAGCAAACACCCAAGCCAACCAGGGTTTGGTTCAGGACCCACGCTCGGAAAAAAACCACAGGACCGTGGATGGCATGGCCCTGAGTTCGGATGCCCCTGAAATCCGAAGACCTTGGGGCAAATCACCTCAAAAATCCTCTAATCACTCCACGACTCCACGAATACCAGGACGATTTCAGGGGAACCATGTACTTTGGACCGTCACAAAACCGAAATCGGTTCCAATGCCAGTGGTTCTGCCGGAAACGAAGCCCCCGTGGACTGACTCCGACGGCGTCCGGGCGACGGCGGTCCGTCCCACCTGCATTGCCGCGCGCTTTGCAGGGCGGCGGACAAGAGGTGTTCCAAGTCCTTCTGAGCAGGTCCGTCCGGTTTGCGTGACGGTTTGGGGAGGAGCGTTGGAGCGTTGAATTGGTGTTGATGTGCTCTTTTTGGGCTTGCTTGACTTCTGAAATGGATAGATATGAGCCAAAAAACGGATGGAAAATGGCCATTCTGTCTACTGGAGAAAAGAGATCAAGTTCTGGAGGAGATGAGGTGGGGTCTTCTTGCGGCTCCTCAGCCTTCTCCCAAGTGCGTTCAAGTAGCTCCTTGCGGCCCGGGCGGCCGGTGGGGCCTACGAGTGAAAGGAAGTGAAACGAGTGCCTACGAGTCCTTTGCAGTCCTTTGCACCTGATCTGTCTTCGATCAAACATGTGGCTGATTTCCAAAATGTCTTTTCCCAAAATGGTGCACTCATCGCAATTCCATGGGGGCCCGCTTCTAAGTCTCCTTTAAACTCCATATTATCTATTTTGTTTGAGTAGGGCCGGGCTTTTTGAGCGCAGTCCGAGTCCATGTGTTGTATATAATAAGAACATGTGTTGTAACATGTTGTAACTCCACAAGGATCTGGACCATCGTGGACACACGATCTGCCCTCTGTTATAGGACAGTTGCTCTTGCTGTTGCCCTTGTCTGTGCTTGTCTCAATTTTGGCCCATACACGGCACGCAGCCCTCTGCTCAAGGCAGGGCAACGAAATTGGCGCAGGCTGGCGCACCGCCTCTTTCGGTGGAACCCACCTGAAGGAAGTCCAAGAGCTTGCTCCCTTTCTTCGACACAGCCTGCACATGTGAAGGGCGCGCAGCATCCGAGGATTGTCGAGGATCACGCCAGAGCTGGGCCCATGGGGACGGTGGTGGTGGTAGTGCACTTTCTGTTGATATTTTGTTCTGCTCGAGACGTGCCACGCCATCCAAAGTGTCATCCAGATGATTCAACACCGTACTGTTGGGGCCCCAAAAGGTAGTTCATGTGCATGTCAATGAAGATGTGTAGGTTGTGTGTGTCCACTGTCAACTGTCGATGTATATAAATAGCATTGGCATTCTTTAGCATGTATTGGGGTCTGCTAGTTTGCAGCATGTTGTACTTGTTCCTCTCGAGGAAGGCTCTCAACTCTCAACTTGTTCACAGGAAGATCTACTGTAAAGGTCCAAGAGCCTCTGATGATGGACAAAATCAGCAAAGAACGCATGAGTCATATGCCAACAAGACTTACGATCTATTGCAATACCGCAAATAAGCCGTTGACTCATGTTGACTCTAAATATATATATATATATGTATTATATATAAATCTACATATAAAACAACGAAATAGAGGTGAGAGACCAGGTTTCTCAGGATTTCTTCCACTTCCAACTGGAAATTTATTCCACTGCGAGGCCAAAGAAATCACGTCTAAGCAACCGGTGCTGGTGCTAGCGTTGTCCCACCAACATGGACACACGGACTCACCTCCAGCCCGCCCAGAATGACATCCACTCCGGAAAGCACCAAGACTGCTCTGGAAAGCATCTGAAAAGAAATGACGTCGTCAGGTAGGCTTTAGGATGTTTAGAGTCTTCGGAAGGGTAGGCGTTTGGGGACTGGTTTGGGGACACTGTCCCGCCTTCCAACGCCACCGTTCGCCTCACGCCTCGTGTCGCCGTACGCCGGCGCCGGCCCACGAACTCGGTGCCTCAGGCCGCAGCGTCCGCAGGAGTTGCACTGCTTTAGAGAGGAGCTCCGACCTCGCTGCGAGGGTGGGAGCCAGAGGCCAGCGAGAAGCGCTGCAATGGTAGGAGCGTTGGGCAGCGTTGGGGTCCTGAACTCTTCCACTTCAGGCCCTTCAGAGAAAGGTAACAATCAATTCCTGAAGGATTTTCACATGCGATGGCTTTGAGCCTAGTTAATAGTCTTGGTCATGAGCCACCCACATCGCAACCCAGACTCACACCTCACACCTTTTCAAATTTTGCTCACTGCTTTGGTGGCCACTCCTTTTGAAGGAAAAGCCGAAGACAGGCGGTGGGCCGCTGTAGTAGCTTCAGAATAGTCTCTCCTCTTCCTTTGTCTTCCCATGTAGCCTCCAACCAAATACTGTACGCCTCCTTACATTAACATCCCTGACACAAACAGTGGCGCCTCCGGCTGTTGCTGGGCACCGGGGTTTTATGCACAGCTCCCCGGTGTAGCTCCCGCTCCGCACCAGCGGAAAAAAACCGCCGGGGTTCACCGCACCAGCGGTTCAGATCCATCCGGTCTCAGTCTCAGTGGCCAAAGACGTTCCGATCCTGACAGCTCTCCGGTGACGGAGAGCTGGTGTGACGCTTCGGCTTCGGCCAACACCCTCGGGGCGAATCTGCTGTCTCATCAAGCAGAAGCAGGCTTCTGACGGGCGGAGGCCCGGCATTCCCATAAATTGGTTTGTCACGGATTTCATCAGAGGTCATCAGTAGATAGAAGAGACTCCAGCACAGAAGATCACAAGGAAAGGACATGTGACATGTTCCATCTTCATCATCCTCTCCATGGTGATAGAAACGGCTACATGAGCCGTTGCCATGAGTGTTGCTATCCCACAAGATAGCCAAACCCTATCTACTTGGTCAGATGTCTGTTAGCCTAGTCCTTCTCACTAAGGGCCAGCTCTACCCTCCAAATGCTTAACCTCCTTAAATGAATCAAGCTCGTGCCCACCATCCAACCCGCCGACGTTCCACCGTTCATCATCGTTCATCCCGTACCAACCCGTCGCCGGTACCGCCGGACATCGGGCGATCTCCGCCTTGGGCTTGCCGTAGAGCGGTCGCCGCCAGTCCATGCCATGGCCCGACAAGATCTCCGCCTAGAGGCGCGGGCTGCGAGGGAGAGAGAAGCTGAAGGTGTTACTACGAGTTAGTAAGTAGCAATGGCCTCCAACCTATATAATAGCGATGGTCTCCATCTAGTAGCTTCTAGCTACTTGTAGCTTCTTGTTACTGGTATAGAAGAATGGCCTTGGGTGGAATCATTTTGAGGTTGGTTCCATGGCTCCTCGCTCTTGAGCGCTCTTTGAGCATCCACTTTCTGACAAAGCGCTTGAGATTCTGTTGATATTCCAATTTTAACATCGGCCCTTCCTTTTGTGATGCTGCTGGGAAGTCTGAGACGGCCAGGGTTTATGCAAGAATTGCCAATGTGTGTCTGCTATGGCATCCCCTTCCAGACCACTGCCTGGACTTGGACATTCGCTGGGATCATGTGTGGGTTGATCGCTTTCCCTTAAATTTGGGGATAGCAGCACCTTGGTCTTTGCTTGTTCATCTGGGCGTGGGTGAAGATCACGAAGCGTGCAGAAACCATCAAGGCAACAGTTGGTGAACAAAGCCAGTGCTTTGTTCATTCCTTTGTGTCCATAATCGAGGAAGAAACGCTGGCAAGATGCTGTAAGAGGACAAGGCAATGGAGAAATCATCAATGCAAACCCGCTTCAATCAGATTAGTACATCCCGGGAGATTTGCTTTGTTCTATCATGTTTGTTCACCATCTGCATATTGGGATGTTTTTTGGGTGCTTCGAGCGACCAACCACAGGGTCCCTCCAGCAGTTCACCAGCTCCCAGTCTCGACTGTCGCCTTCATCGACCGGACTTTCCCGGCTTTCAAGGCCTTGACTTTCCTCGGCACAGACAAGGTCTACGGGGAAATATCGGGAACTCCACCAAGCACATCGCGACGAACGCGAAGCACCGGGGGGGGGTCCCTAGGCACGGACTCCGGTGTCTGGCACGGCATCCGGCAAGGTAAGCGAGTCGAAAAGCGATGCAGGCGATGCAGGTGAAGTCTTATCTTGCTCAACTCTCCTTCAATTGTAATTCTTATGAGGATCAGGGAACACCCAAACAATCTCCCTCAGCAGTAGTAATGGGTGTCTTCCACGCTGGGCAACAATTGGAACATCCAAAATCTCCTAAAATCCCCCTCGAAACGACCATTGCCAAAGGAGGCCAGGTTCCTGTTTTCTCATTGCAGTGGATGATGAATGATCAGTAGGGAGCGATTCTACAAAGTTCTAGTTTGTTTGTCAGTACTATAGACTGTCAGTGCCAATTCGCTCATCTTGCTCGGTCTGGAAACAGGTTAGCTATTTAACTGTCTTGAACCTGCTTGAGCCTGCTCTTCACGGAGCTGCTTCACAAGACTTCCTCCCTTTGAACAATGCGGCGATCTTCTTCGGCCGCGGAACACGTCCTTTGGTCCGAGAGTCTTCTCGCACTGACGTGCTGTCCACTGGAAGACGTTGACCTTGATATCCCAGTGCATCTTCCTCGGTCGAAACGAGCAGCACACCCAACAGCCCCGTCTCCGGAGCCGGTAGATGCCGCCGTGAGACTTTCCCGCGGAGGAAGGACTCGGTGCTCCGTCGAAGGGCTTCGCGAACCGCTTCCCAACAGAAAAGGGATGAAGAGTTGTCCATCCCTGTCGATTGGTCAGAAGATTCGTGCCGAATGTGTTTGTACAAATCGGATCACCGAAGAGAAGAGGTCGAAAGGCCTTGCCCTTTGACCAAGTTGGACAACTTTTTGCTTCCAGCATCTGCAGTTAGTTCGCCCTGAACAACCTCTTCGTTTGTTGATGTGTGCTTCTTCATCGCCCACTTACTTCCCAGCCTGTTCTCATTTGTGTAAGACTTGATGAAAGAATGTATGAAACCATATGAACCCCCATCAACTAGGCACCAAGGTACCTGAGGTCAGCCTGGACCCTCCCTTCGTACCTGGGAAAATGGATGAACATGGGTGCTTTCGTACCTTGTTTGTTTGTTTTGTGGCCTTGTTTCTTACCAGGGTCATGTCCCATTTTCTAGTAGCGATGCCCTTTGTTGCTAGGGTGCTTTTTGCTCGGTTCGTAGGGTCCAGCAGTCCAGAATGCCGAGAGGTTGCTCGATTTCGCTGACCAACTGCCGCCTTTGGATTCAGAACGAGCCAGACCTCACACTCCAACTGGCCCTTTCTGGCCAGACCACATTCAACACTGGAGGAACCATTCCCAACCAAAAACCTCGCCCTTTCCCTGGTCCAGTCAATTAGCTCTTCAAGGCTCTCGTAGTCATCCCCATGCTTCTTCAGCAGCTCTTTGCAAATTGGTGCCTCTTCCTCATTCACTTTCACCGGATGGGCCCCTTTCTTCGGGATCTTCTTCGGCAGAACATCCTGTACGAATATGTACGGACCAGTCTTCACGGTCTGGCATGCCAATAGCAAGGACGCTATTAGGTGGAGGCCATCGCAAGTAGGTTGGAGGCCATCGCTACTAGGAACAAGAAGCTACTAGCAGCAAGAAGCTACTAGATGGAGGGTTATTGTTGATCAGTTGCTAAGGCTTGAGGGAAAAGCACCTCCAATACAACCCACCCGAGCGGACAGTTCCAGCCACAGCTGAAAAGCCAATAAAACCCGCTTCCAATCTTCCGCTTCCGCTCGCTGACACCGCTCGTTCTTCCACTACTAAGAATGAAATCATACAACTAAAAACAACTCCCCAAACAATATTACAATCCTATACTACTACTAACTACTATTAATTATATAACTACTATACAATCCTCAATCCTCTCCTTGTACATCTCTTTGAGGTTCGTCTGCTCCATGTTTTCCTTCAAGGTCTTCCCCTTGTCGAAGCGCTTCCGGAGCTCGGGATCCTCAGCAAACCCCGCGTCGTCCTCTTCATCACAGAAACAACAAAACCCTCCGGAAAACGCACCGTTGGCTCCGTAGAAAAACACCGTTGGGCTTCGGCGAAAAACACGGCACCTGCTGCGACCGAGCGGTCGAAGGGCCAGACCGAGCAGTCTCGAAGCGACGATTCGCGACGATCGGGTCACCGGTGAAACAAACACGAGCCAATACGCGCAAGAATCGGACAGGTTTTTGCAGGGCCCGGATCGGTGGATCGGTTCCACCCCAGATGGGTTCCGACTGTCCACTGGGTCCAGGGAAAGACTTAGACCCAGTGGAAAGTCTGAGCTTGCGAAGAAGTGTGACGAGGAATTGGCCAGTGCGGTTCATGAAATAAGTCGTCAGGGGGGTCTATCCTGAAGTAAACCACCCGAATTGGGTGGTGCTGAGGTATGCATCTTGTCCTGTTGTCCAACAGCCTTTACTCAAATGGTCGCTCTGGAAAGCGGCACAAACTCCCGAGGATTCTGCAAACTGAAAGCGACGTGAAACAAGTATATAAACTAAGTATCATCAACTGTAACTATCAATGCTGTGTCTTGAAGGAAAGTCACTACCACCTGTGCAAAAGCCCGCGTGAAGGCGCTTCTCCAAAGTGCACCAACCCTCTGAAAAGTGCTCAATGTGAAAGCGCCCTGCCCTCCTGCCTGGATCTGCTTCACATTGAAGTGCTTCTTCTGCACCTTCTTTTCCTTCACCTTGGTGGTGACCTTCTTTGCATTTCGCTTCTTCCGCAACGATCTCCCCATGGCAGCGAGAGCGAGCAGTTTCAGCGTGCAGGTTGGTGTGAGAAATCATAGGCACTGAGGATGTATAGATCGGAGAGGCCAAGGAATCAACATCAAAGGAGTGTCTTTTTTGGTTGGCCAAGGGATGCTCGATCAGAAAAGCTTCAGCCGTGCTTCACGACACGAACATGGTTGGCAAACGAACTGATTGGTTGTGTGTTTGATTAGAGAAACAGGCATTACGCTAACAAGTTTCACGGTTTCATGAGACAACATGAGACACCTATGTTTAAGCATGTCTGAGCACATCTAATTCAAGCTTGAACAACTGCAGTCCTTGAACAGAATGCAAGTTGCAGAATGCAAAGGGCACAATCAATTCATGTTACTGCAAAAACTCGGAATCAAAGCCTGTCCTCGAAACCCATCCGACCCATCTGGCCCACCAAAAACACACCGTCCGAGGCTCTGACAGGAGGCTCTGCTCAATGCTGGGCATCAGAAGGGACACGTCGGACTCAGAATCGAGAAAGCCCCTTGAAACGCGGAGTTGGCTTTGCTCCGAGCCACCCTGGCACGGCAGAGGCACAGGCTCTCGACGTTGCAGAGCAACGCTGTTGCTTGAGGTGAAGAAGGACATGTGCTGCAAGTGCGTCGTTTTTGTTGGGGTACACACCCTCCGCTTGGAAGTTTAGAAGATATAACATTACAGCTTCTTGCCGGTGTTTGATCTGTTACCCTATCCCAATCAAGTATATATAAGTGTCTTTCATTTATCCAAAGCATGGCTAAGGAGTTACAACCCTTGACATCGCTCTCTTAAAGGTTCCCTCCCAAACCTGGTCATCACCAAGTTGCTCGGGATGCAAGGTTCAGAGCGAGATGACTTCCAGCGTTCAAGCCTTCCAAGCTTCCAAGCCTTCTAAACATAATAATCCACCGTTCAAACTGTGGCATCGTTTTGAAGATGGGCCCGCTGGATGAACCTTTGGTAATGGTAGGAATCATTGAATCATATGACTTGAGTATTCAAAATGTTCCAGCATGCCTTGATTCCCATACACTGGCCCTTTTGTGCGCCCGTCCGGCCAGCGGCGACATCTGTACTACCGGGGACTTCTCTGAAGCTGCTGCGGACTCCTCGGATGGACTGCGGAAAACCCGAAAACAGATGGTTTTTGTTGGAGTTGTAACTCCGAAAGTCAATGTCTTTGAAGTCCGCTTTACAAGTGCAAAATGGAACATTAGGTCATTAAAGGCAAACAAACAGAAAGATCGCCTGGCAGAACAAGGCCACAATTCAGGGCGTGAGCTCGGTCTAAGCCGTCAGCCATGGTCGAGACCGAATACTTCCAATTCGCTCGGGTCACGTTTGGACTCTCGAAGGAGCATACTATACTACGGACTACGTATTTACGACTCAGGACCTGGGAAACCTACTTCGGAAAGCTTTCTGGCATCAAAAACCAGGGTGCAAGAGTTCACCAGATCTTCAAATGGCCTATGTTTGCCTCAGGCATGTTTCAGTGAAAAATGCCGGTGTAACATGTTATAACGGCATTTTGTCTTGAAAGGGTCTACTATGGTTGGGAACCCCACTAAGAGACTCAGGCACAAAATTCAGATCAGTCCGGATCCCCCTCCTCTTCCGAGGAGAAGAAGCTCTTAGCAGTCGGGGAAGGAGCGCCAGGCGAAAGCAGTCCTGCTGCAAATGGACGTGAGTCCCCAGTCTTTCACTGCATTTCCACGTGTTCACTGCGCATCATATGTAGAAGCGGAATGAAGCGGAATACTTTGATCTCAGGCAACGTGGGGGTCAGCTTCTGTAATCCCTATCTCCCCAACTGGGGGACCATGCGCATCGTTACGTCTTTGCAACCACTTGTTCGCAAAGACTGGTCACTGTGCAGGTCCAATGGATCGGGATTGGGTAACAGTGACCATAGGGATTGGGTCCATCATCCACTGTCACTGGTCCCTGTGTTTTGCAAAATAGGGATTGGGTCTATCATACCCATTGCCAGGCTGAAGCGTGGATGATGATGGTTAGGTTGCAGGCCATTCTCTAAGATAGTGATGTTCTTGTTTGCCGCCTGTTACAGGTAATGGGACAAACCCAATATAATTGGTGATATATATATATACATACACACTGTATAGTATAGTGATATAATATATAATTATATAATTACCTGTAATATGTAGTGATATATTATATATAGGGAGGACACCCAAGCAATGGGTTTTGGTCTATGTTCCGTTTACCTCTTTAAATACACCCCCCCCAAATCAAATGCAAGGAACGGGCACATCGCACCAGTACTTGACCATCCCAGCACCAACGGCTATCAACCCGTCGTGGGGCAGCGGGGCAACGCGTTTGGGAGGAGAGGTAGGAAAATGAGTTTTGAGCGTCTTCGCGATCTCGATCGCTCCCAAATGTGGAAGAACATCAGCCACCCACCGAGCAAAGTCGTATTCATTGGATCCACTGGATCTCCAGACCCGCGCCGCCGCCGCCGCCCGCCCGCCTTGCAGTTGCAGTCTCAGCTGCGGAATTTCGGGGGCTGCGGAACGGCCGTAGGAGGAGGCCGAGCCAAAGGAGGGCGCCTGGGGCACGGATGGAGGGTGGGAGGCGTAGATCAACATCATCAACTGCAGGTTTTTGGCAGGGTTGGTGGGGGTGGAGCGGCATCATGAAGCATCTGGCTCCGGGTCAAACATCTGCGAAACCTGTAAAACATATATATAGATTATATGAGTACCAGTAACTGTGATTCTGATAAGGGCTCACCCGGCTTCCCAGCCCCTTTTTTCAGATCTCCCTTGGGCACCCTTGGCATTTTCGAGTTGATATGGCCAAGCACACAAGGGCCAGGCAGGCCCAGGCCACTCATGAAAACAACGAAGTGCTTATGCCACGCATGGCATCGGCTCAACTGCGCTCGACAACCAGAAACCGCACCGCACCGGCAGCGGGTGGAACATGGTCGATTCGCGATCCGAACGGAACCGGTGATTCGCCTTTTTTGGCGGGTCCACCAGTTTGAGCACGGTAAGCTAGCTTCCACAAGGCTTGGTTCTTCCGGGAAAGGGACGCCGCACAAAGACCCTTCGCCGCGGCCAAAGAATATCGATTGTCCGGATTGATGAAATGATCCGGTTCTTTGCCGCACCCGACTGCAGATCGGGTCTCGCAGATCGCAGTACCTCTACCCCACTCTGCGGCTGGGGGCCCCTGACCGATGATGGTGGAGTCACATCACTCACACTGATGTCCTTGGCGGAAGGCGGCATCGGAGCAAATCATTGCAGCACATGACACCTTCCATCTTCAAATGAAACAGCGTGTTGGATACAGACTTGGGTGAAGAGGTGTGCAAAAGCACTGATGTATACAACCACGTCCAAAAACCTGTGTCTACCAGTTGTCACGCTGCAGGCAAAACGGTCACTAGGGCAAGCCTGAACAAAAGCGTTACAATACCGCTGACAACCACATCGATCGCCGGATCGCTGGAAGACCGTCAAAGCCCCTGGCGCCGCTATTCAGGGCTCTAACTCTCTAACCGTTTGTTTTGCTAAGGGATACTGTAGTGGTAAGCCGAGCGAGCTGCGCGGTGGTTTGTACACCGAGACCCAGCTAGCATCATGTCATCATATCATGCTTGTTGTAGCTCCGAGATGGATTAAAACCTGGAGCCCGACCAGTCCACCATGTAGCGAACGACCCTCCAGGTAGGTCAAACAAGGTATCCTGGTGCCATGACCCACAGCCATGTAATACTGTACGCAGTTGAAAAGCTATGCCCATCTGACGTCGCAGTTTTCCAGGTATTTCCCATGATGTCCCATGATCGTCGAATGCAAGCACTGGTCTACATCCATCAACAAATCATGTTTGTATGTTCGATTCTAGTATGTAAAGACTACCCAACATTTCATGTCCTTAAGGTTGATTCCCTCTGGGCGTGGTTCATGGTTCTGCTGAAGTGCATTCGGATCAAGACACCAAAACTACCCCCTATGCTGCGATAAAAAGAATCCATGAATAGCTGAACAACATCAACCAGCGACCACAAAGTATTCACAAGTTCTCCAAGGCTGCGACCTATGCTCCCCCTCAAGGTAACACACAAGGTCGCGGTCGCGGTCGGACAATGGCATGACCAAACCCATCGGACCCGTGGCCCGGCGGGTTCGTGCTTGCTCCGTTTAGGTGGCCCAGACTGCCATTGCGAGGAACTCCTGGAAACTTGGGCAGTTTCGTCCATCTTCGCCTGGCAGACTGGGGAGGAAAGCACAGATTTGATCTGCTGGCTGAAACAGGTAAGGACGAGGTTTCCGCCTGTGAAACGACGGAGGGTTTTGGGGCGACGTCGTGCTGAAAAGGGGTCTTACGGTCTTATTCGTTACAAACAAATCCAGACCAAGATCAGACGTCGTGCTGATCCGAAACATGGTCCCCACGATCCAAGTGACCAAATGTCGTCTCTCCTTGACCGAACCTAATGACACGCGTCTCAGTCTCCGCTTCCTCGAGACAAGACTTGATGTCCCGCCTAAGGCGGCCTCGAGGACCCAAAGACACGCAGACAACTCCTGATCATCCTTCAGTCGTAGACCTTGGTCACGGAACTGTTGGACTTTGCACAGAATCTGAGCGGCCGCCAGAAGTAGTCAATCTATGTATGTCAGTAAAAATACACACGCTATCATATGCATCAATTGTGCTCACTGGGTTAGAAGAAACACCTGCGTGAAGGTCCATACGGGCCTTTCCGGTCCGTTTCTTTTCCAATTCCTGCCAGGGATGAAGATCCAAAGCAGCACCCAAGCGCAATCCTCCAGCCCAGAGTGCCTCTGCCTGGGACGCCTCAGCCTCCATAGCTTCACTTTCCTCCCACCAGCCATTCTCTGGTAGATCTACGACTCCATGGATCGTCCGATGGAGCAAAGCCAAGAAACCATTGCGCACATCACTCTGCTTGGCGGGTGGCAAGGCTTGCAGTGAACTGTGCAAGTCTGGAGATGACCGCCGTGAGTGCTTTGCAAGTAGAAGATAAACACGACAGGCAAACCGTAGCCACTCGATGCCGACCAACGATGAAGCGAGCATGCCAGCCGATAAACACGGAGTGCGACTTCCCTCAAACGACTCCGCCCGACCAGGCACACGAGCTGGAAGCGGAGCTTCTCCCTCCGACCGGAAGCGTCGTAGCCGGAGACGGCGCTCGGTCAGATGAGCATACCATGCATTGGCGCTGCTGATGCCTTCGTCATCCAAGCGGGGCATCTCGCCAGCGAGGAGTGAGAACAAACTCGTCAAGAAGTCTTCATCAAGGGATGCAGAAGCATTCCAAAGCTCCCAAGCCAGGGAGCCTGAAGAATCTCCAAAGAATTGCCCTTGGAGTAGCTGTGGTAGCCTCGTGGCTTCAACCTCAGAACTGCAATGCATGCCTGCTGCCAGAAAGCTGCTGAGTAAGCACCAGGATGGTCGCCAAGCAGTGCCACGACCTGCCCAAGGAGCTCCGAACACAGGGACTTCCAAGACGAGGCATTTGGAAAAGCTTGGGAAGACCTCCGAGATGGAGCGGGTCTTCTCCCACAACGTCGCTGCCCACTGCGACGCCGTGGCGGTTGGCGGGTGCCACACGTGAGGCGGAAGACGACCAAGTTGACCACCTCGTCGTTCACGGAAGAGGACACCGAGGGCGGTTCCATGAGCGAAGCCAATCTTCAGAGCTTGATCCATTGGAAAAAGCTTCAGGTCATGCAACTCGCACTCCAACAAGAGCCCGATCCTGGAGGACTGCCGTGCGAGGTCTTTGCACAGCTGATTCACTTGTTGCAAAGCCTTGCGCTTGTCCAAGGCCACCATTACCGTGAGCCGCACATTGGTGTGACCGGCACTTCTTAAGGTGGGCCATACCTCATGGCACTCAGCGCTGGAATTGGGCTGAAGGCGCCAGCCTACATTGTTCGCGCCTTGAAACTGGGCGAGTGCCACTGTGTCTGACTTCTCGTCGATGACGGGCACCAACTCGGCTCCGATGTGGCTGCAAATTCTCCGTGCTTCGAAGACATCCTGCAACCAGCGGTAGCTGAAGTTCGCGTGCGGCACAGGCACCCAGAATTGCCGGATTTGCCAGCGAGCCATCTGTTGAAGCGCCTGCAACTGCTCTTCTGAGCTCAAATCCCACAGGTCCATCAACACCGCAGACTCTGCCTTGGATTTGATTAGTAAGGAACCTGGCAAAAATAGAACATATGAACCAGAAGCGACTTTAACCATTAAGCATATATAGGAAAATATTAAACATAAACATTCCCTTCAGCAACACCAGGCTGCTGACGGCGTGGGGTTGGTCTTCCCGTGGAGGCAGAGGGCTGGGAGCCGCGCGGAATCCAAGCTGGGACGGCGGTGGAGCAACAGCAGCTGCCGTAGCTTCTCGATGGCCTAAAGGCCGCGGCTGGACACCGTTCGTTTTCAGGGTCTGTTGACAGGGAAAAGGCTGGGGAAAGCTATTTGACACATGGACAATGGCATGGATGGTCTTGGAATGAACCTTTTTGAAAGTAACTTGAGTTCCGTTCTTCATCACCCTCTCATCGATCCCACCTGCGACAAGGCCCAAATCGATCCACCCACCAATTGAACGGTCCCTGGAGCTTCACCGGCCAGCTTCACCTGGAACCCGTCCGTGGACTGATCTAAATAAAGCGTCACGGTGGTCGAGCCAGCCAATGCAGCAGCTTCGGAGGAATCAGAGGACAGCACCGGCACCAAAGCAGGAGCTGTTGGTAGAAACTCACCCACGGGTGCCACTGCTTGTAGGCAGCACTGCAGCTTCTCAAACAGCATAGATGCAGATGGAACATCTAAGGGCGGCATGTGAACCTCAACCTGCAAAGACTCTCCTAGGCTCAGAAACACTTCTGCATCAAAACTAAATGCACTCACTGGTGGCCATAGAAGCAGATCGAGTGCGCAAAGCTCATCACAGATCGAGGTGACTCCCTCTTCATTTTCGGGACTTTGTCCCTCACCTGGTCTGGACACATCGCCATCATCGCCATCCCCCTCACCGTCCAAGTCCACCGCTGCAACCGCTCCACTGGCAATGGCCTCCATCCGGTCGGCCGTATCTGTTGCATCAAATAGTCTGGCCCAGGCCCATGGGCTGTAGCCAGCCTGGGTACACTTGAGGTCCATGCCACCCTTGGCCAGCGCTTCTGCCCCAGCGGTGTCCCCTGTGGCGCATCGTTTGAACAGTTCAGCTTCAAAAGCACCGCGAAGCTTCTCGAACTTCTCCGGACACTCTGCCGCCACCTGGAAGGGTGATTGACCATGGCCGTCGCGAGCATCAGCAGGGGCTCCACGCAGCAACAGCAGTCGAACCACGTCAAGGTGACCGTTGCGGCATGCCTCGTGTAGGGCTGTGCCCTTCTTCCTTGGATTTAGTTGAAGGAACCTGAAAAACCAGGCATCTTCCATACACATGGACCCTGAGAATGGCACCTCGACAGACTCTTTTCGGGTCCGGTCTTCAGCGAAAAATACGTCCAGTGGATTCCCTGAAACATTGGAGATATTCTCCCCTGATGGTCGGGAAAAGGAAGAGAACAACATGCTGCGTATGCCAGGCATCTCATCCTGGGAGGTCAACAAGGAGGCCACGTCGCCACCCTCGGCCGTCTCCTGCTCAATGGCCATGGAGATGATATCGGCGCGCCCAGAGCCTGCCGCATAAAGCAGCACCTGCCGCCGCTCCTCTGCTGGAGAAAGATCCCCCATGGCAGACTGACTGAAAAAGAAAACAAGTTTTGGCCAACAGGGAGGATCCAGTGGTGACCACTGCAACACGGCCATGTTGGAGCACCGTACTTGGGGAGAATCAAGGAATCAAGGGCATTTGCACATGTATCAATAGGTAGCTCAGTTCTTTTTGCAAGTTGCTTGCTGCCTGGGGTAGTCGTGATGTTATATTTGTATACCAGCTGCAGTCTGCCTCGTGCAGAAATGGCTCCATTGGCCAATCATGTGAAGCCTATCTGCAAATGGCGTTTTAATTTAAGTGGCGTTTTAAGAGCAACCCCAACAATACTGACTCACTTCTCCAGTTGATCAAATAACAAACACCTTATAATGCAATGGGATCCAAACATGATACACAAAAATATATAATATGATATATTATATTGTATTATATTATATTATATTGTATTATATTATATATATATGTCTTGTGTCTCTAAATTGAAATTGCTTTAAAACCCCTACACTTCCAGCAAGCACGGTACGGTTCCAAACATTGTTTTTTAAGATTGAACATTGTTTCGACAATTGTGTTGAAATGTTAACAATTGTTCGAAAAGTGTTTCAGCCATTATTTTGAAGTTTAAAACCATTCTAAAACTGCTTGAACATTAATTGTTAAAGAACTCCGCCCTGCCAAGCCCCACTGGGAGCCTCGACCCAGGTGGGCCAGGCCTTCTGAGAGCTCCTCAGAGGAGGGCATCACTGTGACCTCGGCCGAGATGGAAGGAACCACTGAGTGTACCTAAGGCTTCCAAGCAGCATTCATGTTTAATGGTCCACGAGTTAAACATGTTTTACGTTTTTAAGGGCCAACCATCTGAATTCCTTTCTTTTGGAAGCCTCTGAGCTGTAGGTGGTGAAAATGACGTCAGACATATTTCTTGGTTCTGTGCACATTATCAAGACCTTCGCCAACCGATCATGCACTTATTCCACCGCATTATTCAGGCAACTCCTCGTTTCCTTTTTGCCACTGTTTTGACTTCTAGAGACGAGGAATTGAAACCACATCTATCGACCATTCAGAGTGTATTAGTCTCTATTTGGCGTGCGCAGATTTCTCAATATCTGAGGGGGGATTCTTTTTCACCCCCTCCCGAGATCTCACCTGCTCCAAGTAGACATACACAACCCGAACCAGATGATCCACATACTGATTCTAGTGCAGTTCTCGAAAACGGACATCACATTACTTCCATCCCAGCCGGTGGAGTCATGTGTCTCAAGTGTGGAAAGAATACTGCAGAACCCAAACACCGACGTTTAAAGATCAGTAAGCAGCCTTGCGCCCAGTCCCACCTTCATAAAGATTTTTGGACGCAAAGCCCTGGTTTAAAGAATAATCCGAACCATTATCTTGACCTGTTTGCCACATTTTGTCAGATCGAAAGTGAGCATGATCTCGCGTGGAATTTTGGCCTTTCCAGTAAAGATGGCAAAATCCAATGCCTTGCTTGTTTTACTATATTCGCATGGGACAATCGCTATAATATCAAACGACAGAGAAAATGCACTAAAGCTCATGCCCGTGCTTCTACACCACCCAAGTGGATTAGTTACCGTATGTACAAAGATGACTTTCGCACTGCATTTCAACGAGCTCGTACAGATTCGTACAGTAATGTGTTTGAACCTTTGACAAAGGACCACACACTGTCCTTTTCACATGCAAGCAGTGTCGATGCCAGCGAGTCTGTCCGTACCAGACTCAGATCGAAAACCACCATCCCGAATGTTTTGCATGCTGCATCTTCTACGAATTCATCATCTTCTAGAGCACCGATTTTTGCACCTGCTGTTTCATCCGAAGGATTGCGGCCTACTACTTTTGTCCACTTCGACGACATGGGCTGAAGCCCCCACAGAGGGGTACTGTGGCATCGGCACAGATATCCCCGACCAGACAAACTTTTGGGAGCCTCTGAGCTTCACTCCGGCAAGCACATGATGAGAGATCCACATGAGTGTGCCCATTACCAGTGCTTCATTGCGGAGGGCCAAACCATCAAAAACCACCAACCTCGACCAGCAAAACGCGAAGGACCCAACCCAAAAGACCTAGGGATTGGGTGCGAATTTCAATGTAACCCATGCCGCCTGGCAAGCAGCCAAGAACGTGTTATTTACCGTCTTTGCACCTGAGCAAAAGGGGGGGGGGGCTAGAGTACCCATCCACTCAAGAGTACTAGAAGATACTAGAAGCGTGTATCTATATAAGGTTTGGGCCACGTGTCCGGTGGTCCGGGAGTCAGGGGTCGGATTTGCTCCACTCAGCTGCACGCCACACCAGCCGAGGCCAAGCCCAAGAGGTTGTCGTAAACCAGCTGCAGCCTGCGGCAAGGTGAACCAAAAGTATGGAGCCCGGCGGCAAGCAAACGGATGAAAGACCTGGATAGGAGTGCATGGTAAGCTACACAAATGTCGGCCAATTCTATTGGACCATTGAGAAGTACGAAGCTTCGCCAGAAGTTTCGATTCCAACATGTCGAGTCGCCATTCCACGGCTCAACTGGGACTTGACCCGTAGACGTCTTCGGCCGCCGACCGCACAGAGACACCACACCGCGGGGCCTCTCATGATCGGCCGCATCCATCCGTCACCGCGAAGCCGAAGCCGAAGCCCAACGATGGCTGCAAGAGTTTCTTGAGTCGTTTTTTTCCACTGGTGGCGGCGTTCCGCTGTTTCAGACTCGTTCTGCTCTTAGATCTCTTAGTGACTGGAGATCACGTGGATCAAATGTTTTGTGTCCATCAACATCAGCTGTATACATCACCAACCAAACAACAAATGTTTCTCTTCCCAACAAATGTGTCTCTTCCCGACTTCGTCTCTGGGGTCTCTCAAGGCTGTCGTGCTTAGCAACCATCCGTCGTCGGTGGGGAAACGAGCAGCGAAAGCCGAAAAGGCTGCAAGTTGTGGCCACTGGTAGTGGTGGCGTGCTGTGCTGGAGGCCTAGTGTGTGGAGGGACTACTACTAGCATCTACAGTACTGGCTGTGAAGCGTATACAATAAGAATAGAATCACAAGCATACGATGAATATATACCAATATATTATGTAACTGTTGCAGCCAAATGTGGAACATTGGAATTTGATTTGGGGTTGGCCATTCAGCAGTTTGTCCCATACGGAGTTTGATTTTTGCCTGACAGAACCGCTGCGCCATAAGACTGCAGACACAGGGCTTCAAAACAACTGACCCCGCATTCTCTCCCAAGCTTGAACTGATCTTCCCAAAGAATGCCAGCTTGGCACCAGGCCAAGCAGCATTTTTGTAGTTGTCTAGAGGCAGTTAATGCTGTCAGGACCCATTTACCCCCGCATTGGCTCCCGTGCCTATTCTTAGTGTCTAGACGCAGCCCATGCTCTTCCGCAGCGTTATCGGATTGATTTTTTGTGGGTTAACGGTTAACTTCTCAGGCGTAGGAAATCCCGAATTTTGGAAATACGTATCCTATTTCCAAAATTCAACTCTGTCAACACCGTGCCTGAGAACTGTCTTCATTGAACAATATTGTAGCAGACCATATTATATTGTACCCAACATTCCCAGCAATCTATATTGCATTAAAAAAGACAAACAAATATATATATATATATGCTTTTCAGGTTGTTTCCCAGCACTTGGAAGGAGTTTGTGGTTCTGTTTTTCGTCCGGCAAACGCTCATGGTTCTTGGCCAGCGGCTTCAGACGCACTGATCTACCAAGTGGCAGTGTACCACGCACGTTTGCGCCGTCTTGGCAGGCAGATCCACGAAGCTAGAGGCGAAGGACGTCTGAAACCTAAACTGGTCAACATGTTTTTAATGATTGACGGTTGCCTGGTAAAAGGCCAATAGAATGATGCTTTTGCAATCCTGGCTTTGACATTTTACATCAAATAAAATCTTTGTTGGTTGGAGCATGTGTTCTCCACAGCGCGTCCAAAGTTGAGCCCCAGAATTGATTTCCAAAGACCCATGATTGATTGCAAAAAAAACACATTTATGTTATATATACAGTATATTGTAAACCCCCTGTGGACTTGTCAATAAGCCTCACACACGAAGTCCTGGGGTGAAATTTCACGATCCTGTATCGTCTTGCCTTCATTTGTTTCAGCAACCAATCTCTCGAGCTTCAAAAATAAGCTTAATGTAGACTGCTGTTGAAAAAAGTTCCCCCCATTATATACTTTGTAAAAACTCTCCAAAAAAAAGGAGGTTAATATGTAGTTATTGAATGTTGTTCATCAAACCGTCTTTACAATGTCTTGCCAATCCACCGATTCTAAGAATCGGGACACCAAACCGTCGGACGGGAAGAAGCAGATCTACGACCTACGACCTGCCCACCGGTCGGGGCCCCGGACGGGCGAAACCCCACCTCGACCAGACCAGACCCCAACAGTGAAACCATGTGAGGTTTCACTCCCGACCACAGCGGCCTCTCTCTCTCTCTCTCTCGCTGTCTTTTTCTCGACTTCTCCAAAGGTCTCCGAAGTCAGGCCGAAAATTGGGTGTCAGGGCTTCTTTGGGGCCTGGGGCGGTCGGCGCACGGTGTTTCGGCTGAAGGTCTCAGAACTCCTTGTGGTGTCAGTGACTCACTGCGGGAACGAGTTTAGTACATACTCCATCTCAAACCCGCTAACCCCAAAAAAATGGCTTTAGCTACATGACGCTGAATAAATACACGACACTGAGAGTTCGACGAATATGCTACCTACATCGAACCTACCACAGAGACACAAGTAGATCATTCATTTGCTTCGTTTTTGCAAGTTCCAAAAAAGGCACCTACACCACCTGGTCACCACCTGGTCACCACCTGGTCACCACCTGCACCAAATCGACAGAAAGTCCAATGTCTCAGTCCTCTGCCCGGGCAGTGCCCTCCGCGCCTTGAAGCCGAGCGCTCGCAACAGCCCGCCGCCATAGCCCTGGAGCGAGCGTCGATCGGTGCAAGACAGCAAAAGAATGACCGAGGCTGTTACCTCACAAGAGTCTCTCAGACCTTTTTTGGGTGAATTCTGCATGAAGTGGGTTTAATATAGAACTTGGTTGCAAACAAAAAAATAAGTGGGCCCTATAACCTTTGGAGATCCATTAGAACTGAGAGCCTTCCGAGAATGGCTCAAGTGTGGATTTGACCACTCTAAAGTCCTGAGTATAAGAATGGTTGTTCGTTCAACTCCATCAGCAGTCAGTTAGCGCTGTTGAGAGTTCAGACTCTGCTGAGAGCCTCCTGCTGCCGCACTACTGTAGTTCAGAAAATTGATGAAGCTTTAGGTTCGGTGGTCATCTTGCTCTGCTGGCAGGGCTGTAACAATATCTCCTGTCAACGGGGGTGCTTCTGAGAGTCTGACCAAGTAGCAAAGAAGCCAGCACAGACAAAGAAACCAGCAATTTAGAAGACCTTTAAATGTTGGTCATAAACTTAGAACCCCGGGGGTTCCAAACAACATCACACATACCCCCCAGATATGAAATATTTATGAAATTCTCTAATTCACCATTCTTTTAAAGCTGGAAAAGAGCTGTTCCACCTGCATGTCTCCACAATCTCTCTGTGCCTCATGTTCCAGGAGCTTCATCGAGGTAATCTGCGAGCGGACGGCGCGGAAGATTTGCGTTTCAATGGCGATTGCGCAGGTTCTTTCTTCAGTTGGTGGCTTGGAGCTTGTGCTTGAAAACTGTGGCTGCTTGGGCATGGTTGACGTTGGCGCTTGGGGATTTGAGCCATACTTGGAGCGTAGCCTGAAAGAAAGCTTCAACTGAGTTGCGACCCTTCGTCCCCATCGTCTGTCTGCGATTGGCCAAAGAAGCTGGCATGACGGACAGGCAGGCCACCTAGATTGAGTTGCTTCTTTAAAACCACTGAGACTGCTAGCACATTGATCCGATCTACTGACCAATACTATCCATATACAAAGCAAGCGGTCTGATTTCTGCCATGGTGAGTGAAGGTAAGAGATGGTAAGAGTAAAAAGGCACATCATCAACTGAATCTCAGAGGTCTCAAACAATTGTGCATCGAAAAAAGTCTATAACCGTTTAGACCTAGATGCGTTCAGTTCAGTGTTTTTCAAGTTGTTCCTGGTCAACTCCACGGAAGAACCCTATACTCTGGGTTGTCCGACGTACCAAAAGGTCTCCAGCCACGGGATGAGGAAGTGCTCCCCCGTGAGATCACTCGATGGCGCCAAGCAAAGGTAGAAACCCCACACCTGTTCGGCGGCACCAAGGAGGATCAATGGGGGTCTGATGATCTGGGGTTGCGAAGCCATGTAAACCACCCCACCCATGTCCAAAGCTCTTGAATGACTGCAGAACACTCACCGATTCTACTCACACTTCCCAACTGCGAACACGGTCAGAAAACGGACACACCAACCCTCCAAAACTGCTTTCCCTAGCCCTAGACATGCCGGCTGAGACACCGGTTTTCCGCCGGCCCAGCGGAAAACCGATGAGGTCGGCGTGAAGTAGAACTCGTCTCCGTCTCGGCCCCCGAGACGTTAGGACGTTAGGACGGTAGGACGGTCGCGTGGTGGAGCCGAGGCACGGAAAAAATCACGCCCCAATACCTGAGGCAGAAGACCAAATGAGGCACTGTGGGGCAGGCTGAGAAAGGCTGAGAGCTGAGAAAGACCGACGTTGAACCGTTGAACACCTCCTTTTTCTCCAGAAGTAACGTTCGTAGCTTCTTGTGACGTTCGTAGCGATAGCCTCCAACCTACTAGCGATGGCCTCCACCGAGCATAGCGTTCACAAGGCGTCCATCAAGGCGCTTCTGGTCAAGGCTTCTCGGGTCGGAAAGAATTCAAGATGGTCTTGAGGTTGGAGGCTATCTTGAATTTGGATGTGCTTGAGGTTGGAGGCAGATGTCCTCAGATTTAAACCCATGAAGATGGTCTTCATGTCTGTCCTGAAAATCAACATTACTCTAGACTCTTATAGTTCAATCAAAGAAACCGCGCAATGTCCGCCCCCTGTTTCTGTTTCTTGTCCCAAGATGTCCCAAGACTGACAGTGGCTGAAGCACGGCCCTGGGCGGAGAAGACTGGCCCTGCTTCTGCAGAATGCATTACCCCACAGCTCCAAAAAGGCTCTAGAATTCCTGACAAAATGGCTTTGTTTCCAGACCATTCCCTAACATCATGGATGGGTCGTGTGCTACATCTTCGCCTCTTTCGCTCGCTCTTCCCTCTGGTTCGCCTCGCCCGGACGGTCCGTCCCGCTTCCACTTCCGTCCCGTCGAAAGCTTCAAGACGGCCACCGTCGAGTCGAAAGTTGAAGCTTCCACACCTGGTGCTGTTTCCCCTTCTGTCGCTGTTTTGTCTTCATCAACTGGGGCCAAAAGAGCTGTACCACTTGCCAGTGACCCCGATGGATGGCCAAGTACAAAGCCATGTCGTGGACGTGTGTGAGGATCGAAAGATCATCAAGCAACGAGCGCACAACTTGACGGTGGCCATTCGTAGCTGCAAGATACAATGCTGCTGACCTATTCTGCGTAGCGGTCGTCCCCCTGCGTGTACCTATATATTTTGCTCCTTCCTCCAGTAAGACCTGCACAACTTCAGGATGCCCATGGGCAGCTGCCATGTGCAAAGCTGTCTTCCAATCTTTACCCACCTGGTCTTGGTCCACACCATCCACGAGCAACAGACTCACCACTTCAGAATGGCCACACGCAGCTGCCAAGTGCAAGGCAGTTCTCCCACAGTGCGTGGCCTTGTCTTTGTGCACACCCTTCTCCAGCAACACCTGCACAACTTCAGGATGGCCTTTGATAGACGCCAAGTGCAAAGCTGTGATCCCCTCTTCATCCGCCTGGTCTTGGTCCACACCATTCTCAAGCAACAACCTCACAATTTCATGATTGCATTTCACAGCCGCTAGTTGCAATGCTGTTGTCCCGTCTGTCATTGTCTGGTGTTGATCCGCACCATCCTCAAGCAACAACCTGACAACTTCTTGATGGCCTAGTGCAGCTGCGATGTGCAAAGCCGCAAACCCATTGTTTGTAACCTTGCCCTTGTCTGCCCCATACTCGAGCAACAGCTGCACAACTTTGCTGTGGCCGCCAACGGCTGCCAAATGCAAAGCTATCATGCCAGAAGGGTCTTGCTGGTCAATGGCTGCGTTAGCTTCAAGAAGCAAGCGCACACATTGCCAGTGGCCTCTCTCTGCTGCAAGTTGTAATGCCGTGCTCCCTTCTGTATCTCTGGCCTCTGGATGGCAAGGCTGATGCAGCAAGGCTTCAACTCCCTTCCAGTCATTCTCCTTACATGCCAATAATATCTTCTCCTGCTGTCTCATCTCAAGTGGTCCAAAACCCACAATTACAAGCCAGACAATCGACGGAATATCGACAGCTTCGTCTGGCAACTCGCGATCTTCGCAGAACCATCTCTGTCGAAATCTAGTGGCTCCAAGCACCGGGGCCACTTCCATCTTGAGGACTTTGACAGACTTCCCCTCAGTCTGATCTGCCTCAAGGGTGGCCATTTCTTCACCCGACATGGATGAACACAGATGGAGCATGATTGACCGGGCTAGGACGCGCACTGCAAGCAGACGACCTGACACGCTGCGCGATTGGCTGCGTTCAATACAGGCTCCTAGTTGGATTCAGATGACTTGGCAACTGGCAAACCACTGGTTTAGAAAAACGGTCTTCAGTGTATAGTCCATACTATCAGAGCTGTGAACACCACGAAGTTTGAGAGTTGTAATGACCTGCTCCAGTCTGACCAGACAGTACAAACTGTAGGCTTGGCATAGCTCGAACAACTTCCAGACTTGATCATTGTCCAGAACTAAATTGCTCCGCTGGTCGTTCGATAACCCTCAGCCTAGCTCCGTCACTCTTTCACCAGCTAGGCAGCTCAGGGTGTCCCCTCGAAACGGAGATACTTAAGTGCCCACTGGTCCTCCAACTTCCCTTCCCCGAAGGCGGAACGAGTTCCACCCAAGATGCTGTGGATCACTGATGCCAATGTTGTAGGGAAATGCGGTGGCCCAGGGCCTCGGGCACGAAAAGCGGGCCCGTCTTCGACTCACCGGTGGTTGCTTCGCGAAGACGGGAGGCGGGTGCGCAGACAAACCGCTCGAGCCCGGATGAAAATGCTTGAAAAGCCTCTTAAAGCCATATATATTACCATATACCTTTATGGATCCTTTTTGGAACTCCTGGCATGCACGCTGTCTTGAGACAATTTGAGACGTTTGCTTGTAACTCACATGGGAAGTTCTGACGGTGGCATCGGTTCATGGTTGTGTCCATGGGGGGGTTGAGTTCTACATGTATATCCTCGGCACTGCATTACCTACTTTGCGGTCAGTCCAGTCAACAGAAGGAACGTCTGGGTCTTGATACCTGCCGGAACTGGTCTTGTATTCCTTACAGTGAGCTCGACGACAGCGAGTTTCGAACAGGCGTGGGTTGCGTCACACCTCTGCAGGTGCACTTCTGGATAGAACATATGTGTCGTGTCCGCAAGACAGGGATGTTGTTCACCAAACGATCTATTGATATCTTCTGTCATTCCTTGTGCATCCTCGCCCCAGGCTTGGAACGCAACTTTCTCTTCAGCAATCTGTTTTGGGGGGATTCAGCTTGGTCGTTGCGTTCAAGCTCAAGTCCAGCAAAATGAAGGGCCCCTGCTATCCCCCAATCCCGCACGTTGCGTGCAAAACGTTGGCTATGACAGATCAGGACTTGAAGTCTCCAGGACCCAGGACCTGAAGTCTCCAGGACCCAGGACCTAAAGTCTCCAGGACCCAGGACCTGAAGTCTCCAGGACCTTTGTTAAGACGAAGAAACTATCCTTCCCCCTGCTAACCCTGGTAGTTTGCACGTGCTCTGAATGTCTTGCTCTGAATCAAACAGGGCAACCCGGTGAACCATTGAAGCGGTGTGTCTCTGGGGCAGCAAGCACGTCATATCCCAACTGAGACCCGTAGTACACCTGAGCGGGTCGCCGAAGCGAACTGCAGTAGACTCGCACAACCTCCCTCCGTCTCAGGTGGTGCAAAAAGCCACTTGCTGCAACTTGCTGCACACCTCGCCGCATATGTCATAGAGCTCATGGTTGTAATTATACAGTATGTAGATAAGTTCGAGAACCTTGGTCTATACGTAGTAGGCCGACACAATCGCGATCGAATCCTTTCGGTCGCGGCACGGTCTGTTTTCCAAAGTCCTTGAGCCAAATCAGGTTGGCGTCCAGTGACACAGTGCAAACGGCAAAGCCGATTACCGATGATGCAAGTCTTTACATGACAATTCCAGTCTTGGATAAGTGTTCCTAGACATCAACCATACATGACGTGTCATCTATACATGAAGTGTGCAACCTCACTCAAAGCTCAGTTCTTCTTGGGGACGTTTCTAGCTGAGGGATTTCTTCTCCCCCCCTCTGACTCCTGAGCTGCTCGACGGCTTGGGATCAGTTCTGAATCCCGGGCTATCCAGCTGGTTCGGAAAGGTTCTGTGGCACACTGTACGGAGGTATTCTCTTCGGCTTGTGTTTCTGCCGTTTCTTGTACCCTGGCTGGGTAGGGCCTGTCGTGCCCTGAGGTCCTGTCGCTACGTCTGTCGCTGGTGTATCTGGCTGCAATGCCATCTGCTTGTCCAGCTTCAGGCCAGTGCCTGAGGTGTGTTTGATGGTGTATCCATCGAGGTGCACTCCAAGGTTTTGGAGGGTTTTGGGCCATAGTGCAGGCTCCACTGCTTTTGTGAAAGCATCGGCTTTCTGGTCGCTTGTTCCAACAAGGCTCAGTTCCACGTCATCGCGATCCAACTGTTCCTTCACTGAAGCCAAACTCACGCGATGTACGCGTTTGAGATGCCTCAACTTCTTGGAGTATCCAGCAGTCACGACCTTCGCGCATGCAGTGTTGTCTTCGCGAAGCCTCAACAACACAGGACGCCCAAGCATTGCGGAATACAACTCAACCAATGGCAAACCCTCTTCGAACAGCACATACGACAATGCGACAGTCTCCGCCTCCGTCGTGCTTCGACAAGTAGCCGTCTGTTTCTTCGACAGCCATGCCAAAGGAAACGATGTCCGCGGGCCAGACAACTGTAGCCATCCACCAGTGGTACTGTGGGTGTGTTCATCGTCTCCGCAGTAGTCTGCGTCTGCGAAAAGTTCAACAAACACATGCTCCGGCGCATCACGCACATGCCCAAGTAACATAGCGTTCTTGGTGCACTCGAGGTAGCACATGGCACGGTACAGGTACGCATCACAAGCTTGCGTCCAGGACTGTACCATGGTTGCCAACCAAGTCACAACTCTCAGCAGGTCGGGACGAGCAAGGCGTGCCAACCACATCAGTCTCGTCAGAATGCTGCTGGCTGAAGATGCCAGAGCACCACGCTCTTCTGCTCCAACGAACCCCTTGCTGAGGAACGGTGATGCAACTACTTTCATCTTTGGGCTGTTTGCAACCCTCAAGTACTCTTGAACAGTAGCCTCGGCGTAAGCACGCATGTCAAAGCCAAAGAACTCTGCGTTGTCAACCTCGACAGTGGAGTGGTGTCGACCAAGAAAGCGACCCAACGGTCCAATGTCATCAATCAACACCTTTTCACCCAACGCCTTCCAGAAAGGCTCGTGCCATTGACTTGGTCCTGAGAGAATCAAGTCGTCCACGTAGACAACCAATGCCAATCCTCCGAAGGTGGGGACGGTGAAGGTGGATGCAAACTCTTCAACCTTGACTGCTCCTAAGAGACACAACTGTTCTTCAAGAAACTGTTGCCAATGGGCCCCAGCTTCTGGGTGTCCATATAGCGATTTGCGCAATCTAATGATTGGCCTTTTGAAGCGAGGGTAGCCGCTTGGGGTGAACCAAGACTCAGGCCACAACTCTCTTGGGAGACGGATGTATGTGGCAGCCAAACTTTTCAACTCCGATTGGAGATAAGCCTTGACGGCGTCTGCCGACGACAACTTGTGTCCCTCAAAAAGACCAGAGGAGATCACGCTATTGGCTGCAACTATCGACGCAGGAGACGCAGCTAACGTCTGGTAAAGTGCTAGCTTTCCTTCAGCCGTCTTTGCAGAATCACCACGATAGCACACGCGACCTTTCAGAGCACGAAGCTCTGGAGCCAACTCAACGTGCTTTTCGCTGCAAATAGCAAGCAACCGACTCAAGCTCCCATGTTCCCATGGAACCAACACCATCGAACTCCTTACGGATCGCCTGCAGTGCATCAGGTCGGGACAACACTTCGTTCCGGGTGAGCTGTCTCGTCACCAGGGCACACACCCCAGCCGCAACGTCTTCCGGTGGGACATACCCTTCGGGAAGCTCATCAGGAGAGTACTCGGGACCCTCAGTGGTCTCCGGCTCAACCCAATGTTCCCTTTCTACTGCTCCTGTGGAATAGGAAGAAGAAGTTTTCTCTGAACTCTTAGGCATTGGAAGCGGTCCAGGTGTCTTCGGTGCTCCGACATCTGGCGCCGGTGTAGGCGGCGCTGCAGCTTCTCTAGGGAAGATGGCATCAAATCGCTCGCGACATGCCTTGTTGTGGCGGTAGTGGCCACCATCACATCCAGGGCAACCCTTCGTAAAACCATGCTCCAACAAACGTGAAAAAGTAATGTATGCATGACGTGGGGGTGCAACTGGGGTATCTTCCGGAAAAGCATCAATATCAATGTCATATGGGAGCACGCCCGACTCAATAGATCTGTCATAGATCTTCTTCTTCACCTCAACATCAGGGTCAGACATTTCCTTCAACGCCTTCATTGCCGCGTTGGACAAAGGAAACTCAATGTACTCAACAGGAGGGAAAAACACCTCCTTCTCATGCAAGTCCTTGGGACTCCAATGCAAATGCGCTCTTGCACGGACAGCTTCATAGTCAACAACTTGCACGACATTGCGATATCGCAAGCCTGAGTCAACACGCCATCCAGCAAACAAGCCTGGTCTTGTAGTTGGAGCGGCCATTCCATCGCTCTTGGCCCTGTAGAAAACAAGTGCACCAAGAGGGTACTTCACTCCAAGAAAGGGCTCACCTGTGCAAACCTCCCAACGGGTCTTGCCAGTCTTGAGCTCCTCAATCTCCGTCCCACGCTCATGCTTGCGAATCACACAAGGCGACCAAAAGGCACGAGCTTTTGCAGTGTAAACAACGGAGATCGGCCACATCTTCTTGCTGAAGCCGGCCTGGAGATGCGCTGGTCTGCACAACTCTTTCAAGGTCCTCACCTCACGTTCGACGTGGGCCGCGTGAGGCCAATCCCTGGGGATGCTCGGGGATATTGTCCAGCACAGCCTGGATGCCGCTCCGGTCAACTCACCGGCTGCATCTGATTTAAAAATGACACCGGTATCACCGTTCAACCTATGGCCACCGAAGTGTTTCAATGAGTTGTAACAGGATTCTTCTGACCTGTCTCTGGCCGGATAGGCCATGCTCAGACCGGAGAAGAGATCAACGATCACCAGAGCCACCTTCTCCCCAGCGTTGCTCACGCTCTCTTCCGACGGAAACATGTGGTCGGCTTCGAGCACACGGCCAAAAGCAGCCGAGCGCTCGTACGCTTCATCACTAGGCTCAGGTCGAACTCCGTGGGCATATCTTTTCAACATTCGACCACGCACGCAATGTTCACAAAAAGGATTCTTCTTCGCGTGGGTCGTGATGTGGTCTAGGCTCTTTGCCTCTCGCTTCAACCTGTCATCTCTCGACTCTGCAAATTCAGCTTCGTCATCCGCGGGAGCAAGGTCATCTTCAAGCTCGGCGGGAGTTGCAAAGGTATCAACGGTTTCAATGACCAACGGTCCACGGTAGACCTGTTCCTTTGGCTCCTTCTCGACATGCTCCTGTGCAACCACGCAAACAGCTGCCTCACAAACGGGCATGGCGGGCACCTCCTTGAAAACAAGGTCAGGAAACAAAGAAGAGAAGACGATCTCACACATGATCTCTGGGTATTTTGCAGTCGTGCTAGTATTGGAACCTGTGATGGGTGCATGTTTGAAATCAGTATCATGCTTGCATCGACACTCGTTCAGGTTCTTTGCGAGGTTCTCATTTGTTGTTGCCACTCGCCACTTCTTGAGGAACGGCGTGCCTTGCCGATCAACAAGTCCAACCGCACAACCATCAAAGTTCACCACTGTCATGCCAATGTCCCGAATGAGCTGGCACAATGCAGCCTGCTTCCAACCCAATGCATGTCTGGGCCATTCAAAATGAACATCTCCACCATGCTCAACAACACATTTAGCAAGCTCGCAAAAGCGATCAAGCAGCTTCAACGACAAGTCTCTCGACCTGGCCAACTTCTTTCTGAACTCTGCCCCATAGCGGTGTGCATTGAGGTATTGCCATTGGCTCCACGGGCCACAAGGAAGGCTAGCCCACAAATCAATACCTGGATGTTCACGAATGAAGTTCTTCAGGTGTGACGTGGTACTCTCATATTCTAAATTGTTCACCTCCTTGGTACAACGTGTGACCTTGATGTTCAACCTCTCACCAACAACACCTAGGTTCGAGTCCGGCTCGGTGCACAACTCAATGAGCATGCCACGGCCTTTGAGGCCAGTCTGTCTTGAACGCTGCTTCACAGTGCTCGCAGTCAAACAGGTTGGGTCAGTCTGCACTTGTGGTTGTTCAAAACTCTCGAGCTCCTTCATCACCTCGACGGCCAGTGCCTCAAAGCGTTTTGCTATCTTGCCTTTATTGACCTGGGCCTGCGTGGTGTAGAACTCAACCATGTCACGCATCATCACAACCATAGACAACTCACCACGCGGAAGCTTCTTCTGCCCCTTCTCAACAAGACGGGTCTTCTTCATGGCCTCCCACTTGCGACGTTTGTTGTCCTTGCGATGCTGCTTTCTTCTATGCTCTTTGTTTGTTTCTGTCACAACCAAACCCTCAACCGGCACCTCACACGCGCTAGAAGCTGCGATTTCCTGGTCTCCAACT